GTTTCTTTGAAGACAATGCCTTTTTCTTTATGAATGTAGATTGAAACAGTTGTAGAATGCTGGCAAAGATTTTAAAGGATTACTATGAAGCCTCTAGTCAAGTAGCTAATCTGGATAAGTCTATTTTATTCTTCTCTACAAATACTCCTTTAAGTATAAGGGACTTGGTTAGTGATACTTCAGGGATTCATGATCCGACTAATCTGAGGTGGTCTTTAGGGATTCCTAGTGTGTGAGGCAAATCTAAATGCTAAGCACTATCTTACATAAGAGATATGATGTAAAGGATGGTTTAGGGATGGAGTCAAAGCTTTTTATTACAAGCAAGTAGAGAAATTAGAATTAAAGTTGTAATTAATGCTATTCTCACTTTTCCTATGATATGTTTCAAATTCCGTGTTAAAACTTGTAAAAAGTTTGATAGTCTTGTCTTAAATTTTTGGTAGAAAGGTAATACTGTGGATAAGAAAATTAATTAGATTACTTGGTAAAAGCTCAAAAAACCTAAAAATGGGGGTGGCATGGGTTTCAAAGATTTTGTGAATTTCGATGATGCTCTTTTGGCCAAGGTTGCTTGGTGGCTTATGAATAACTTTGAGGACTTATGGGCAAGGGTAATTAAGGGAATCCATTTCCCTAACAATCATTTTCTTGAAACTAAGAAAGGCTCAAAAGCCTCTTAGTGTTGGACTAGCCTATTGGAGGGAAGAAAACTTTTGAATAATAATCTTTATTGGCACATTGGCGAATGTAATTCTATCAAGATGTGGAAGGATTGCCATATTCCCTCTCTCCTTAATTATAAATTATTTATTGTTGATCTTGAATTAAGGAAATTTGATACTCTAGTGGCTAATCTTATTGATAGTTAGTGGAACCTTTCAAGTATCACTCACTAGATTGATGAGGAAGCAATTGTAGCTATCAAGCCTATGCCTCTTGCTTTAGCTACTACTCAAGATTGGATTTATTGGACTTATGCAAGGAATGAAGTATATACTGTATAATAGGGATAGAAATAGGCCATGAAATGTTTAGCTATTAGGCTTCTTAAGTAGGGGTGTTCAAGCTGTACCGGCCCGTACTTGTCCTGGTCATGTAGGGACGGGTTTGTTCTGACTTGAAAAAAATCAGGACGAGGACTTTTATGGGATAGGATGAAAATAAGGATGGGACGGAACTCGAACTTACCTTCGGGACATCCTGTCCCGTCCTGTTTTTAATGAGCATGTTATTATTGGTTTTTTTTTTGAAATTTTCCTATTATTTTGGCTTTCCAGGAAGGAAGATTCACGATTTTGGTCTTATTTTCCACTCAAATTCCTACTTTCCCTTCAATCTTTCACAGATCACAGCTCTCTGCCTCCACACCTCCATGCCTCTGCCTCCACAGTCCACACCTCCTCCTCCGCCTCTACCTCCGCTTTGCCCCCATAGTAGCACAACACGATAGCGAGATACTTGCTATTGCTACCTTGACCTAGATCTTTGCCCAGCTTTGCCTTAAGTCAGATCTTCATTCCTGTCGTTCTTCTTGACCCAGAGCCAGTGCTACCTTAAATCTACCATTCTCCTCATTGTTCTCCTCATCATTCTCCTCGTGTATCCATTGCCATTCTCCTCGACCCAAATTTAGTGTGTTCATTAAATTTTTAGTTCTAAATATAAGGTTTAAGAAAAATAAATAGATTATGTCTGAAATCTCTAAAAAAGGCCGTGCCCTGTATGTTGTTTGCTCAGTAAATTTGAGCTTGTCTCTTTGTCATTTATAGGATATCTGGAAAAGGCCATACCCTGGTTAGTTGTTTTTTGCATTTCCGTGGCTTTTACTGGTACTTGGTTTGCTGACAGTTGGGTTGTTCATTACCTAATTTTGTTTAAGAAAATCAGACTCATAAATAAATGTGCTCATCCAACAAAACTCAAAAAAGAGAGAAGGAAGCGCATTATTTTCTAATTGATTTGGAGATGTAACTTGCATTCTAGATGAATCAGGTTGATGGGCATGAGGCATTTGACATGTCATTTATTAGTACATTATGCTATTCTATGTTCTTAATCTTGATTTCCTTGGCTCTTTTACGTATTGTAATGGTTTATTTGGAAAAAAATAAATAAAGAAATCTGTGTGGTTAGGACTTGGGATGATACTGATCTACTGAACACTCTCTCCTGCATTTAAAATTAAAACCCATGTCTTAAAGGTAAAGCAGATCCATATCTTTATGCTTTAGTGGGACTTAGTTTACTTTAATTTAATTCACAGTCTTTAAAAGCATTATTGATGCAGTATAATATTTATTCTATTTTCAACAATATTTATTCTATTTATTCCATGTGTCTAATATTATTGTTCAGTATAACATGATTTTCTATTATTCCAACTAATCTTTGAGTGGCATTGCATGTCTGTATTTGATTCAGTTTCAAAAACTATATCATCTTGGTTTCATCAGAGGGAAGTTTCAAGGAAGAAAAATGGCCAAGCAAATTCTTGTGGGGAAGATGGCGTCATCGCTGGTTGATATTTGTATTAAGAAATGGTTCAATAATGTATGGCTTCTAAGAGATGTTCGTGAACTAATTAAAGCATGTGGAAGTGTCTACTAAAGTAAGATAGACTTATTAAATAAAATGTGAAAAGCCAAGTTATGATTGGGAATAACAAGATTGAATTTTTTTATTTCAATACAATTTTGCAGGGAAAGAATTTGAAGTGATCAAGAATATGGGAAGAATTCAAGTGCCGTTCAAATGGAAACATTATGAGGTAATTTTTTTTTCTCTCCAAATCTCCCATAAAATTAGGACATTGTTAAGAAATATTTTCAAAGAAAAAGATTTGTGCTGAATTGTGAACAAAATTTAATTTATATGATTTAATTCTTCTAGTCAGTCATTACTTTTGTGATCAACCATATTTATAATGATAATTTGCATTACATTTTTTTAGGGTTCTAATTAATGTAACATATGCTTTTTCTTATCAAGTAATAAGTTGAAAGATTGTAACAATCTTGTGGATGTGCATCTGGGATGTCCCGGTCTCGTCTTGACTCCTTTTTGGACGAGACAGCTTCCAAGACGGGACAAGAAACAGGACAAATTTTGAGTCCCAATCATTTCTTGAGATGGGCCACAGGACGAGGGTATCTCGATTCCAATCTTGTCCCGTCCCGTGAGCACCCCTATTCTTAAGGCTAGCTTCTCATCTCTAATTGCGGGAAATATTTGGAAGACTCTTTGGAGAATCAAACCTCTGTCACGTATTGCTTATGTTTTGTGGAGGTGTCTTTCAAATATTTTAGCCACCAATGAAGCATTAACAAACAGAAACGGGGGAAGATCAAAATTATGCCTAGTTTGTGAAACTGAACATGAGACAATCGAGCATCTTTTTTTTTTTTTCCAGTGTTCTTGGGTTTGTGTGTGTTTGGTTTGGCTCTGATCTTTCTATAAAGAGTAGCTTTGCTAATATATTCAATTTTAGTGGTCTTTTATCTCCTCTTCTACCAAGGGATCTCTGATATGGAGCAATCTCACATTTGTTGGCTTCTTTGGTTAACGCGTGGAAGGCAAGGAATGATAAGGTGTTCAATTATAAAGATCCAAATCCCATCTTTGTGATCAACTTGGCCAAAACATGAACTTTGGAATTTTTAGAACTTGACTCTCCTTCTCAACAAGTAGATATCACGTCAATGTAGCATGTCCTGTAGCAGATTTGGTCTCCTTTGCCTGCTGATTTTTTCAAAATTGACATCAATGTAGCATTTGTTACTGCGGCTATTGGGGTGGTTTATTGGGATGAAGTTGGTCAGTTTGTGTGGGGATTTGTGGATAGAGAAAAATCTATTTCAACCTTCATGACTGAGGCTTTAGCACTAAAAAAAGCCCTCAAGTTGGCCAAAGATCTAAGCTATGATAAAGAAATATTCGAATGTGATTTTTTATTTAATTCTTACGATTCATAAAATAAAAATTATTATTCTTTAAATAAAAATTATAATGGGGGCTTGTCATTTTTAATAAAGATAAAATAATTTTTTCACTTTAAAATTTATTAACAAAGAAGTCTCCAAAGATTTTAATGACATTATAACATGTTAAGAGATCGGATTATTATTTATATAATTAAAAAAATTATTTTTTTTTTCCATTATTAAATGCGGCTTTCTTTGCATTTGAAAAAATTGAAAAATATAATAATGTATAAGTGTCCAAGTCTCCAAGAAATCAAGAATGTTTAATGCTCTAAAAAATAGGATGTTTCCTCAGTTATTTTAGTTTTCAAGCGTACTTCCACCAACTAGAAATATAAATTGTGACAGTTAACATTAATTGTAAGGAATAAAGAATTTAAGGGAACAAGAGGGAGAAAATAGCAGTACAACAACCGTTTGATTTTGCCTCATTAAGAATTGGCCTCAAAATGAGCCGAACATTTCACCCAATTCAAAACTAAAAGTAGTTAAAAAAGATTATAAAAGGAATTTCAATATGATTCAGTTTAGGGTTGTTAGTTACATATTAATCAATCGAGGCTTTCTTTGCTTTAAAAAATTGAAAAATCTAATAAGTTTTGAGTTAATGCTCTAAAAGATTTGGTCCATGAAAAAGAAAGAATGTTGAAAAAATAAATAAGAAGTAAAAAAGGACAGGAGAACAAAAAATAAATAGAAGGGACGCAGCGCTTCAAACAAACACATTTTTTACTCGTTTTTTTTTTTTTCATCACCTAAGCTTACAAAAATATATCAATGTAATATGTAATATAACTTAATCCTCAAGCCTCAGGCAGTCAGGCTTGCCTTTCTATTGGGGAAAAAAAAAGCAATATGTGAACATTTATTTTTTTAAAAAAAATAATTCCAATAATTTACTAGCTGTCCAACAGAATCAAGATTCAAAGACTGTCAACGCACTGAAAGATTTGGCCAAAAAAAAAGTATATATAGATGAGAAAGTAAAAGAGAAGGAGAAGAGAAAAGAAACGAAAAGAAAAAAAAATTACACAGGAGCACTTCGCCGCGGTCACACCACCCTCTTCTTCTTCACTAGAGAGAGCAACGCCTCTCTTCTTGTTCCTCGGCCACCGAACACCTTCCTCCGCCTTCGGTTCTTGCTAACCTAAGCCTCCTACTTATCTAACAGTGCGCGTCCTTCTTCTTACTTGAATTATCTTTGCTCTTTCGTTCCCCAGATTTGGAGGATTGTCTTGGCGACAAGGCTTGATCATCTGGGAGGTTCTGGCGTTGGAGTTTGGTTTGGTGCTCCTCAGAGACTTGTATTCTTGTAGCATTGATGCATAAATTCTTTGAGCGCTTGAAATCATTCGTGCGTGCACGTCGTGGTAATAATAACAATGAGGCGACTGCTAGTGACGGAGGCGGGAGTACTAATGGTGTCCGTGGGAACGCTGGGAATGAAGCTCGAGATGGCTTAATTTGGTCCCGAGAATCAGGGAAGTATGGCTACGGTGAATTCTCCATGGCGGTGGTTCAGGCCAACGTGATTCTTGAAGACCAGTGCCAGCTTGAGGCTGGCCCGTTCGGCACCTTTGTCGGTATATACGATGGCCATGGAGGATACGATGCTTCTCGATTCGTTTGCGATAACATATTTCGGCATTTTCAAGGTCTTTGATTCTGGAACCCATCTTTCTTTTGTAGGCCTCATTTAGTGTTGATTCTTGTGGAGTTTAATTGGCCACGTTTTTGTTTTCTTTGTCATTTACACGAGAACGAACTGTTATGATTAGTGATTTTCATCAATTCCCTTTTCGTCAACTTTTTAAAAGCAGTGCTTTCTTCTGGTCTTTTGAGTTTTAGATTTCAAAATAAATAGGCGCAGTTGGAACTTACGCCATGCACGCTGTATGGGGCATCAATTTCCTGACATGTTATTAGGAGTCATTTTCAATTTTAGAGTTCTTGATCGCTGAACTATATATAAACGTTACAGCATGTCTTCAAAATTTAATCTATTTCGTACCCTTGTTTTCTGAGCCAAAGCCTTCATTGTCCGTATAATCTTTATCTCCGTTAATAAAGGAGCCTTTCTTACGTTACCAATCTTGAACTTCGTTTGTGTGCAGCATTGGCATCCCAGTCAAATGGAGTAGTTACACCTGCGACCATTGAAGCAGCATTTCGCCTAACAGAACATGAATTCGCCGCGTTTGTAGCACGTTCGTGGCACAATGATCGACCTGCTATGGCTACTGTTGGAACTTGCTGCTTAGTTGGCGTGATTTTCGAGCAGACCATATTTGTGGCAAACCTTGGAGATTCCCGTGCTGTGTTGGGCACAAGAGTTCGAGGTACTGGAAATTATGGAGCTGTTCAGCTATCAACCGAACACAATGTAAGTAATGACGATGTTAGACGGGAAATTGAACACTTGCACCCGAGTGATCCCCAAGTTGTTCAAATGAAGCGTGGAGCGTGGAGAGTAAAAGGTATCATTCAGGTAATTGCCTCTATATCCTTCTAAGGACTCTGTTATTCTTTCATGTCGAAACTAATCTTTTCTGAAATACGTTAAAAAACTAATCATTCGGGTTACCTTTATTTTGTGGGATTAAATATGTCCTTAGACTTAACTAAGCCATGCAATTAATGCCTCAGATTTTAGTTTATTATTGTATCTTTTGTACCTCATCTCTTTGGCATGTACACCTGCAAATTTTGAGGATTGTAAGATTAAATATAATTGCACGAGACTGTATATCACAATTTAACCTATAATAAGCTCCTCCTGCACCTGTACTGCTATTCTCTATTTACGCCCTGAGTCACTCTGCACCTATGGGTTTAACAAACTATAACATATATACATGCAAAATATATTTCACCAACAATTTCCCCGTGTCATTTTTACTCCAAACATCATTCAGAAATTTAAAATTTAAATTTGCATGGGCTTTTATTTTATAGCAGTTTAGGGATGATGAGAGGTTAGTTATATAAATATCTGATGAATCCAGGATAACTCTGTCAAGCTGAGTATGCTGCATTGTCCTCGAGTCATGTTTTGATTAGGCACAGTATATATATGTAAAAGAAGCACGCTTTAAAGAATCATGAAACTTTTGTAAACTCCATTTGATGGTGGAAATGTATGACAGATGAATTGAAGAGTGGTTAGTATCTTGAAGTAGAGAAATAGAGTTGTATGCGGATTTCCCATTCAACACTATACTGTCCTGGCTTTTGTTTATGCATGACCCATATCAATAGTACAACTTTCTATAAATTGTAAGCTAAGTAGATATATAAATGATTACAAGTTTGATTATCACGTTCTTCCATTGTATACCCTATTTTTAAGTGAGAAAAATCAATATTGAAATTATACATTAGGTGGCTAAAGAGTGAATGTGCTTTTATTCTGCAACTCCTTGTTTTATTTGCACTAATGATGTTATCCTATTTCCTCTTCCATGATTATATTTGGTGCAGGTTTGTAGATCTATTGGTGACATGTTTCTGAAAGATTCTGATTTTAACAAGTCACCGATTGCTACAAGATTCAGAATTCCGGAACCAATGGACATGCCTTACTTGACTGCTAATCCAGATATTGTGACTCGTCCCATCAGTCCAGATGATGTCTTCCTGATATTTGCATCAGATGGTTTATGGGAGTTCCTGAGTAATGAACAAGCAGTTGAGATTGTCCGAACCAATTCACGTTCGGTAAGCTTCTTTGCAACTGTTTAAATAATGATGATGATCATGATGTTGTTGTTGTACCTAATTTCTGACCCGGGAATGTTAACAAATCATGTGGAATGACTGTAATTATTGTAAATGGTATAATTTCCAACACCCTCTCGTCGAGTACTGCATGTGATGCGTTGAGGCTATAGACGACGGATTAAAATGTTCATACCAAAATCCAAATCGCGTGGCATGTTGATGCAGGGTATCGCCAAGAAACTTATCAAGGCTGCCCTCACCGAAGCAGCATCGAGAAGAGGAGGGAGACTCTTGGATCTGTACAAGCTTCAGGGTGTTCGGCGCCAAGTTCATGATGACATTTCTGTGATTGTTTTATTCTTTAACCACAGCCTAATATCCAGAGCCACCACTGTTGATCCTCCACTTTCTGTTCGAGGTCCTTTCAATTACTGACAATTCCTTTCTCTGTAGGCTGATGCCAAAACTAGGTTTCTATTACTGATTTCTGCTATGATATATGCGTAAAGACCCATTCTTTCATGATTTCTTACCACTCGTTATTCAATTCTTTGCCATGGAGAATAAATCTAATGGCATTTCTTGATTGTTTCTATTCCCTCTTTCTCTCCTCTTTTTACGTTCAATTGTTTGGTTCATTGATTCACACGCTCTCGTCAATGTTATATTATTTTATATATTATTGGTACCAAGTATAAAACGGTATTTTATAAAACTTTACATATCAATTATGTAATTGTAAAATGGTATTTTATAGTATTTCTAATAATAAGACTTATATTTTATCATATGTATCAGAATTTTTATAGATAATATAGATTTATATTGTACTATAGCAAGGGGAAAAAATTTTACATACCATGTAGCATGTACTCATAATTGGACCCGTGTTCTATTCTAGACAAAGTGCTTATGTAATCGCACTATTCTAAACGAGTACTTATTTAAAATTAAAATCTTCGATCATTATACAACGCATGCTCAAAGCCAATCGTGTCTTAATTTTTTGTGAAGTTGGTTAATTCTTTATGTGTAGTGTACCCAAGGAGCATGGATATTTGAAATGTTCTGAGAAGAAATTATTGATTGGTTACGAAATGAAGTCAAAAATAAATTCGTGATATTATTTATTAACAGTAATAGTAATTGGTAATTATTGATATCCAATGATTTTTCAGATCAAATTTTAAGAATATGCACGTAATATATTTGTGCCTTGCTCCTTGTAATAATGAGTAAGGAGATTAATATTCATGAACCCTTTTCCGGGGGGTTGGGGGGGAAGGAACCTCCATGTGTTCAACAGTTTATTCCTGCAAAAGAATTAAAACTAAAATTCTGTTTATTTTTATTTATAAATTAATTTTTAGGATTATTATTTATATTTATATTTATACATTCAAGTTCAATTCATAAGAAAATTATAAAACAAAAAAGGATTGCATGGCCATTATGGAAATTTCAGGGGTACCTGAGCAAATAAGGTATTTACAGTCCCGGCGGGTGGACTGGCTTTTTCTCAATGAAGACCTAACCAGAGAGAATAGCCCCATCTCGGCACTTGGCTATCAGCTCTTGAGCTTCTGCCATGCCAAATTCGTTGCATAAAATACTGTTACCCTGACTTCCTATGTGCGTCGATTCCTAATTCTGATTCCTGACAACGATTTACATGATTATAGGGCCATGAGAATCTCACGGTCTAGCTCGTTTTTATACTCCTTAACAATCGTACTGAGTCTTCTCTTGACTTGCTCCGAGTCGGCATCGCATGCCTTCAGAAGAGATCGCAGTCACGCTCAATGGCACCATGGAGCTTTCCACGACGTGCGGGATAGCGTCCGATCCGATGTTCGCCGCATGCTTCACTCTCGAGCTGAGGTAAATTTTTCTTTCCAGAAAGCGCAAAAGTGAAAAGCGACATATAGTAGCTGTTTCGTTCTTTGTTTTGACAGCGGAATTCGGTTTGTAGAGTTCGAAAATGTTTATTCCTTTTGAAACTAAAAACTGATTTTTCCTCTTTGTGCAATTATGATGTTAGTCTCAGGATTATCTGTTTCTCGGTCTCTTTGCCATTTGGGTGATGCATGAAGTTTGTGCTGTAGGTTCCGTTTCAAGTTCCGCTTGAAGTGAATGTGGTTCTTGTTGGTTTCAACAAAGATGGGGGCTACAGATACTCTATCGATGCGCATCAATTAGAAAAATTTCTCAAAATGAGCTTTCCATCTCATAGACCATCTTGCCTTGAGACTGGCGAGCCGCTTGACATTGAGCATCACATGGTCTATAATGTGTTTCCGGTAAGCTTCATGAATGCTGGTTTTGTTGTTTATTGGGTAGTGTTTCATTGATATTTTGTTCATTATGGCACAAATTTAATACCCATCTGTCATTCACATTACAGCGGTGTCATCCTTTATGTTAGATATAACGATGCTTGCAATCCCTATTTGTTTGTTACTTTAATTGCTTTATAATTATATATGCTTTGCAAACTTGCGCCAAGAATTCAATAAGTAAAGCTATGATTTTACTTGTTTTGGGAATAAGGGGTGCAGATGATTATGTAGATTATTGAAGTTCTGGTCACTATTGAATTTGGCTTGAAGTTGATAAATTATGGGCTTCTGGTTCATATCTATTGGCGGAATGATTAAAAAGGATATGTGATTGCTTGGTGTTTAACTGTGTAATCTGGCCACTGGATTAGATTTTTGTCTCTTAAAGCATTAATTCTATAACCAAAAGGTTACAACCATTAAATAGCATTACTTAAGTATTTTTTGTGCTTTTTATTGCTTAGACACATAAAAAGGTTAGAATCAGGCCTTTCATCATTAATCTAACTGATTCACAATCTTCTAGGACATTGAGTCCATTTTGCCTCCCAAGAGGTGTAGACGCATTTTATCTTCTAATTTTTCTTAATTACAACATTTTTAATTTAATTCTCGCCTCAGTCTGGACAACCTGAACTTATAGCACTGGAGAAAACACTTAAAGATGCTATGGTCCCTGCAGGAAAAGCAAGAGAGGTAAAATCCGGTTTTACATGCCACTTGTGCTTGGTTGGTTTTAGAAAATACATCTCCTTAGTCTTAAGAAAATGTCCCATGTGTTTAAAACTACCAGATTGAATTTGGAAGGGAGGTACCCTTGTTTGAAGTCGAAGCAACGACTGTGGAGCACATATTTCAGAGGCTGTACTCCTACATATTTGACACGGGTATTGAGGGAAATTCTGTTAGAGAGATGGATAGACCAGAGCCGATTGCAATATTTATAGTAAACTTTGACAAGGTATAATCGACCTTTGCTTTATAAAATGCTTTCCTTTCTTTGTATTATACTAAAGTCAGTTTATGTCGAATTCAATTAAACTACCTGCAATGCTTAGAAGTTTTAGCTGGCTGACTTCTGTAAATGAAAAATATTAGTGAATGGATGATTGGTTTTTCTTATTCCTACTTTGCTTAGACAACAATTTCACTGGGTTTTCATTTCTTTTCCTCACTAAATTCTTATATTACAGGTGAGAATGGATCCAAGGAAAAAGGAATTTGATCTTGATAGTTTGATGGATGGGAAACTTCCTGAGCTAACTGAGGATGATATTTCAAAACAAGAAGGGGATTACATTTATCGTTATCGCTACAATGGTGGAGGAGCATCCCAAGTTTGGCTGGGTTCTGGCAGGTATGAAATAATTTGGCATTGAACTTTTCTTTCTGTGTGTAATCCAATTACTAGCCAAAATCTGTTTCCAATGGATGTCGTGTTCAGTTCTCTCGGCAACTTGCGGAATATGCACTGGACACAATTGGATTATACACAGAATGATACTTTATCCTGTACAGCCTGAGGTTAAGCATGGATTTTAGTTTGCTCAGAGAATTTGTGACTTTTTTCTATAGTATATCTGTATATGCATTTTTGGGAAATATTTAAAAGATTATTATTTACAACATTACAATATATATATATATATCTAGAAACAAACACATGAGCGCGCATATTAGATTTGATAGATTTCATCAATGTTTATAAGAAAAAACTCTTTTTAAAATTCATATTTTCTTTATCCAGCCAAGAATTTAACCTAAATATTTATAACTGTATCTTTGTCTTTTTAACTTGCAATTATCTTTAACTCAGTTGTAAACTATTAAAAAAAGTTGTCATGTTGGTTTTCCTGGAAACGAATAAAATGTTTTCTCATATAATAAAATGTACATTTACTTATTCACCTTATTCCTCGTATATATTTAGCATGCGTTCATGCAAATATGGAAGCCTGACTTTCTGTTTGTTCTATTTAGATATGTCGTGATTGACCTCTCAGCAGGGCCATGCACTTATGGGAAAATTGAAGCTGAAGAGGGAAGCGTCAGTTTTAGAAGTCTGCCAAGATTACGAAGTGTGATGCGTCCACAAACTTGGCGAACATTTGGTGATCAATCCAGCCATGACATTTTTCTTGGACAGCTTGCTTCGTTGATATCAACCACTGTGGAGCATGTTATGGCTCCTGATGTTAGGTATTTGTGGATTGTGATATCATCTTGGACACAAACGTGGCTCACTCAGAATTTAAAAGGCTATCTTGTGATGGCCAGCTCTTTGTTCAATGTTGAGCATGCTACTGATTAGAGCGCTTGAATATTACGTGACTGTTGTACAATTTCTAGAATCTGATTGTGTTCTTTTTTCCAGGTTTGAAACTCTGGATCTGACGTCAAGATTGCTTATACCCATAATTGTCTTGCAAAATCACAATCGATATAATATTATGGAAAAGGGCCATAACTATAGTATTGATGTCCAAGAAATTGAGACAGAGGTTCGTAACTTTGGAATAGACTTTTTAAATCTGTTGCTTAACCTGAATGTTGACTGTCAGTGAGATCCAGTGTAGTAAGACTGGAACAAATGGGACAGTGACCCTTTTTACTCTCCTCTCAGGTGAAAAGGATGCTTCATGATGGGCAAGAAGTAGTTATTATTGGGGGTGTACATTCACTACATCGCCATGAGAAGCTGGCAATTGCCGTGTCAAAATCGATGCGTGGACATTCCCTGCAAGAAACCAAGAATGATGGTCGTTTCCATGTTCATACCAAGATGTATCTGGATGGTGCTCTTTTAAAAGAGGTAGCTGCCTTGTTAATATCTTTCTATTTTATATGATTTTACGTGAGTGCCTTCTTCCCTTTTGCTGGTAGGTGGTTAAGGCATTCTTACTTTAGCTTGACTGTAATAAAAATGACAAATAGGATCCTATCAAAGCACTTGGTTTCACTCTTATTAGTTATATTTAGCTTGACTGTTCTGTTAAGAAACTAGCCAATTTCGGTGTCATGGTAGCGGACTCTGAAAACTGTGAAAAGTGCCTTTCCTGCTTTCTTTTCTATCTCTGTTTGATGTTGAAACTTGTTTTTGCAGGAGATGGAACGTTCTGCTGATGTACTTGCCGCTGGATTGCTTGAAGTCGCGGATCCATCTCTGTCAAGTAAATTCTTCCTTCGGCAGAATTGGATGGATGAATCTAATGGATCAACAGATTCTATTCTTAAGCATAAACCCCTTTGGGCTTCA